CAACCAACAATAGGACAAGGGGACATGGGCTCAAGCTCTGCCAGGGGAGGTTTAGGTTAGATGTTAGGAAGAAATTCTTTACAGAGAGGGTAATCAGGCATTGGAATGGCCTACCCAGAGAGGTGGTGGATTCACCATCCCTGGAGGTTTTTAAAAATAGATTGGACTTGGTCCTTAGTGCCATGCTATAGTAATTGGAGTTGGATCAGGGGTTGGACTTGATGATCTTGGAGGTCTTTTCCAACCCAATCTATTCTATGATTCTATGATTCTATGATTCAGTTGGATGGTTTATTGCTAATGTGTCCCAAGGGTCGACACCTTCAATGCAATAGAAATCCCTCTCCCTGCATTACAAAACATTTTGGATTCATGAGGTGTTCAAGTGGAGCAGGAAAATGAACAACAACTTTACTAAAACAAAGAACCATCAAGAATAAAGCAAGGATCCTGCAGTTACAGAGAAAACATCCCTCCAATGCTTCTGTCCCCTCTGGCTGCTGAGGTGGCAGCACAGGCCTGAGACCTGTTTCTGCTCTGCTCTCATAATACCTAAAAAATGGTCAGAGAATACAAACAATGCAAGCTCTCTCTGGTGAGTTACTGCTGGTGTCAAGGTGCTGTTTTTAATGCTGAATTCTGCTAAACCCAAAATGCTTCAGGAAACTTCCAAAACATCGCCTTCTTTTTGAAGCAGGATTGGACAGATAAGCTGCTCTCTGGTCTGGAAATACGTCTGGCAGTCAAACTCTTTCTAACTATAAAAGCCCCATCCAACTTTCATGCGGCAGATTCTTCCCCAGACTTCCTTGAAGTGTATGGAGCTTCTCCCATGAAGCAGGGACAGCTCTTCATGGTCACTGCCCAGGGATTAAATGAAAGAGAGGGAAATACCCTCTGTCGTTGTGGGGTGAGTTACCTCAATGTCTACTTCAGGATTGTTTCTCTTTGCTGCCCTTTAATAGAATGACTGATAGACTGCACTGTCCAATCTTACACTGTATTTTTGTTGAAGATATTGTAATGCAATGGTTAAAAGAAAAAGGACAGAACCAAGAAGAGTTGGTCTCTTGGGAAAAATGCTGGGAGTAGTAAGATTCAAGGTTAGAATGACCTAATAGTGATAACAGGAACATCTGGTGTCTAGCTGGGAGTAGTAGATGCAAGGTTGGAATGACCTAATGGTGATAACAGGGACCAGAGTAGAAAATACCTAAATGCTTTAGATGCCAATAGACTTATAGCAAACTAAATATAATATAGCCAATCAGCAGCTTAAGTTTTGTAATATGCATGAGCTAATTATGTAACCACATATAAGCCTTCTGATTATTGCCAATAAACGAGTTCTCGATGAACCAATCTGATAAGGTGGTCGAGTTCTTCCTTTTCCGACATGTATCTACAGGTAAAGAACTGAAATGAATTCCCTCCAGGTGTGTCAGACCATACACAGGTACATCCTCACAGCAGCAGCAAGAACCAGAGTAATCCAGAGAGAAGAAACTGCAGATAAGCACAGTTATGTTTACCATTTGATATTTACTATTGAAGATGACCAATGTGGGAAAATACAGTTTTGTTAAAAGCCATGGGTGTGCATGTGAAGAATGAGTGCGGCAGCCGCTGGTGTGAGTGTGTGTGAATGAATGGAGTCGTGTATAAGTGTATAAAGCACTTTAAACACTAAGCCTTACAAAGGTACCATTACCTCAGCCACATAGTCATACTAGAAGAGTTCAGTTTATGAAATTTACCCTGTTGTTGAAATAACATTGAGTTTTCTCTGTTCTATGTAAACCCTGAGATAAATGAGGGTGTCCAGTTGCATAAGTACTACTCAGTTAGGCCAAAAGCCCCCAGATCAATAAAGTTGTTTATCCTGGTTACACTATACCCCTCAGAAAAATAAAGGTTCAAGCTTCTGTTAAACAGGTTCAAAAGGTTAAAGAGAATATTTCCAATAAATAAGTTTGTTAAAGAACCAAAGTAAGCGATGAGGTGGGTCACACTGATACTATAGTAATTGTTAAAGGTTTACAAAGTTTAAAGACATACTGCTCTGTTATTTGCACTGTTCTGTGATTTGTCTTAAATATTTCAATCGGGGAGATGTAGGAAACATGTCCCAGGGATGCTGGCTGAGGCATTCTGGGATTGGTAGTTTCCAATGCTGTACTCTGACACACATGGGCAGAGTGAGTCTCACTGTGGTTGGTCAGGAGAATCCCGTGTTGTCCAAGAGTATATAAGGGTGTTGTTTTCTTATAATAAAGGATTTGGTTGTTGGCAATCCTAAGTGCTGGGTTGTGTCTTCTTATATTACATTAATAAGCCATATTCTGCCACCGCCGTCCTGTGCTATGCCCCTGTCCGAGAATTATGAGGATTATGAGGAATGGGTAGGTGATGAAGATTGTCAGAAGGAAGGATGGGAAATGTAGTCTCTGCAGAAGGTGCCTGAAGAGAGGGCTGGACTGCACATGCCCACTAGACGGGTTCAAGAATGATCGGTTGGGAATAGCATGTGTTCTGTGGTGACATAACCTCTTACGTAATTGAGGGGTATAAAAACCTGGGCTTGACCGTTAATAAATGATTTGCCAGCTGCCCTCCACCTGGTGGGTCTGTGTCTATGCTCACATATGTGGTGAACACAATAGCACCTATGTCTCCACTGGCTAACAAGACGGAAACACAAGCTTTCCTAGGCCTTGTCGGTTTCTGGAGGATGTACATTCCAGGTTACAGTCACCCTGTGAGCCCCCTCTATTGAGTGACCCTTTTGAGTGGGGCCTTGAACAACAACAGGTCTTCGAGCAGACCGAACAGGAGATACTCGTGCAGTAACTCCAGGGCCTGTCTGCACAGGACCAGCTGTGCAGAATATTCTCTACATGGCAGCAGGGAAGCATGGTCTCACCTGGAGCCTCTAGCAGAGAACAACACGAGAAACCCACGGTTGACCATAAGGGTCAAAGTTGGGGCTATTGACGATAAGAAGCCCACTACATGTCAACTGAAAAGGAGATATTAGCAGCCTATGAGGGCATTCAAGCCACCTCAGAAGTTGCTGGAACAGAAGCATGTCTCCTCTTGGCACCGCAGTTGCCTGTGCTGCACTGGATGTTCAAAGGGAACATCCCCTCAACACATCATGCAACCAGTGCTACAGGGAGCCATGTGAATAAAATCTCCCTGGAATAGAGGGCAGTGGCTGGGCTTCCAGTATGGTGAGGCCTGGCAAACTGACTGCACTGGAACACTGCCACAAACACACCAAGGCAAGAACTACATACTCATCATGGTGGAGGCAACAACTGGCTATCTGGAAACATATCCTGTAAACCAGCCCACTGCTTGAAACACCACTGTAGGCCTCGAGAGGCACATTCTGTGGTGACATGGAACCCCAGAGAGAATTGAATCAGATTATGGGACTCACTTTCAGAATAACCTTATAAGTTCTTGGGCAAAGAAACATGGCATTGAGCGTATCTATCACATCCTTTATCACCCACAAGCCTCTGCAAAGACTGAGAGGTATAATGGACTGTTGAAGACTATGTTAAGAGCAGCAGGTAATGGGACATGGAAGCATTGGGAGGCAAATTTAGCTCAAGCCACTTGGCTGATCAACACCAGGGGATCTGCGAACCGCCCTGGTCCTGCCCAAACAAAACCCCTACACACTGTGGGAGGAGATAAGGTACCCATACTACACATGGGGAAGTTGGTGTGGGTTTCTCCTCCCACGAGAAAAGGCAAACCCATCCTAGGGATTGACTTTGCTCAGGGACTAGAGTGTACCTGGTGGTTAATGTGGGAAGATGGGGAGACTCAGTGTGTGCCCCAAGGAGATTTAACCTTGGGGGAAAGATAATCTGTGTTTTAAGTTGTATGTTGGAGGAAGTAGAGTAAGGGGACAATGAAGAGTAAATTTTGAGAGGAGGATGAAGAGTGTGAAAACAACCCAAGCTGGAGTGGTGTTGGTGCCCAATGACAGTGTTGCTTCTACTGTCCTGATTACCCATCCTGATGGAATGAAGCCCAAGATCTGGGGGGGTGGAAGAAGGCCATAAATTAGAAAAAAAATAATATCTATCTATGAAGTCACAGCAGATAGTCAGAAGATATATACATATATATATAAATAACATGGGATCTGAGTATGACGCAAGTGGAATGGAATAAGAGGTGGAGGTTCTACTTCACCTGGCTGAGCTGGAGTTCATTTCCCCACACAGCCCTCACAGTGATGTGCTTTGCAATGGTTGCTAGAAGGGTGTTGATAACACACCAGTGTTTTGGCTACTGTTGAGCACAGCATCAGCACTGGAACATTCCTTCTGGGAGGGGACACAAGTAGGCCAGCTGACCTAAACTAACCAAATGGATATTCCATACCACATGATGTCAGTTTAGATATAAAACCTAAGGAAAGGAGCAGGAAGGGGGGGAAATCGTTGTTTCCAATGGCTGCCTGCTAAGAAACCACTATGTGTTTTCAAAGCTCTGCTTCCCAGGAAGTGGTTGGATATTGCTGCTAGTGGGAAGTAGAGAATAAACCTTTTTAATTTTTCTCTTTGTTTTTGCACGCACAAGTTTTTACTTTTTTGCTTTAGTAAACTGCCTTATCCCAAACCACAAGTCGTTTTCCATATTATTCTCTCTCCCTTTTTCCATCTGGGAAGGAGAGTGATAGAGTGACTGGATGGACACTTGGTGTGCAGCCAAGGTCAACCCACCACACTCTGTCACCCTCTGATGCCAGCGCCAGGCTCTGGCACACCCTGCATGCTCTTGAGCATAGATGTCTGAAGTCCAAGTGATTGAGCAAATATCTGTTGTGGATATTAATGTTTAAGTAGCCCTAAATCTGCCAAAAGAAAATGAAGGATATTCTAGGTATTCACATGTGCTTTAAAGATACTGAGTACCAAATGAACTGGTCTTATGCAGAGAGGACCCTGTAGAAATAGCTGATACTTTCACATATAAAAGCTTCACATTTTTAAATAAAATATAGATCCCCTCCCACAAACTCCAAGTTACTCACACATCTATGTAAAAGGTTCTAGGTTGTTCTGTTACCTTGGGCTTTGGTATTAGTCTTTTAAGTGTATGAGCCTGGGAAATTAAAAAAGCTCTAAAGCAACAGTCAACCTCACCTGAAGCTGTTACATAGCAGAATTACAAATTAAAGTGCTTGCTTCCACCTTTGAAATATGATCTACAGATTAAAAAAAAAAAATTATTAATTTCTGTTACTGACTTACTAATTCTACTATTCACTTTTCCCAAAATTAAGTACATCCCAAATGGCATTACCGATGAATCACATTTGCTTTCTTGTGCTTTAAACATAGGTACTCCAAGATTGTTTCCTTCCTGGTCCATTATAGTCTGTATCTTTGACTCTAAAAGGCTCTAGTAAATAATGCATTGAAGAGATAATAAGTCTCCTTCCCCCTTTTTATAAAAACATTACCTAAAAATACATTTGCCAATTACTGGTTTTAACTCCCAGTGTTCCCTCAGAAAAAAATTCTCCCATTTGTTTTTATGCCCCCAAAGGAAACACAGCTGTAATTTAGACTTTAAAAGAAAATAAGTGAATCAGAAATTACATAAAGTTTACCAATTATTCAGAGAAAGTAGAGAAGTTTGCCAGAAGTCAGTATTAGAAGAAAATACTTTTTGAGCTTACTACTGTTTAGATAACTGTAACTTCTCTCGGCTTTCTTTTTACACTCTCTAGTCGTGTCAGAGGACGGAAATTCATTGACTTCTTGCTTCCCTCTGTTGTAGTTAATCGGCAGTCCTTCTGCAGCCCTTTTAGCAGCTCCATTAACTCCCGTTTTTCCAGCTCTGCCTGCTCCAGCTCCTGACGGTGCTGTCTCTCCGCAGCCATCAGAGAGCGTACATCTGACATCAGTCGTGATATCTGACTCTGAAATGCAAATGCAAGTTTACTGCAAGAAACAAACCCTTTTCTAATGACGGTGGGATGAAGTTGAACTGGACATGCATATATTACAAATGGATTACAAAGAAGAAGCAACACTGAAATAATTTTTTGATAGTGGAGCAAATATAAACAATTTGAGACAATCCAGCATTCCCCTTCTGGGATTGTCTTGTTTTAAAGATTCCAATAACTTTTCAAAAAGTTTCTTGTAAAGTATGATAAGAAACAGCAGATTCACCCAGTTCCTGCTTATACTTTCTATTTCAAGACCCCAGCCAAAATAAAGTTTTGGTTATGTTCAGATACATAATTCATGGATTTAACATCAAATTCAGCAGAAACTAAAATTTAAACTATGACGCACATCCATTGCTTTGGGCTTTAAAAATTTTTAGCCTGTGATAAAACAACAACTGGATGACTGAAAAGATAAGGCGGTCTTGCTAATTTTTACTTGATGACGTTTATGGTGCAACTTTCCAACCTTCTGACCACAGCTGGAACACAGTGTAAACAACACTGTTGGCAGTAGTGCTCTGTGTCAGCTCTGGATTAAACCACTTTGCATAGCATCAAGAAAACGAGCTGGATATTTAACTACACCTGATTTGTGATCTCTGCCCTGAGTTTATAGACACTGAAAATCCACAATGTTACATACAAGCAAGAACACTGCAGTCCTTGCAGGGGGTGCCCAGGTGAGTTCCAAGTGAACTTAAAGCAGACAAACCATGGAAATACAGCGCTCAGACCCGGTTAACCTGACAAAGCGTTGCCACTTTTGCTTCCCATACTTAATGTCATTCTCCTCTGTATGTGATTATATTTACAAAATAAGATATTGCTATCAGTCAAAAAGCTAAACTGTTAAGAGAGGAAAAAAAAAAAAGGAAAATTATCATATTTACCTTTAGTTCTTCAATTTCATTTTGCAGAATACTCTCTTTTTGGACCATATGCCTTCTCTGTGAATCTAACCTTGACTCCATCTCATGTTTTGCCTCCTCCACTCTGCAGATCATTTCTGACCTAAAAAGTTTATTTCTCCTTGTTAAGTCTTGTAAGTATGGAAAAGAATGATATTCAAATTCCAGAAAGCCTTCTTGCAGCTAAATGCTCTGATCTGATTCCCTTCAAACTCTACAAGGCACACCTCTAGAGGCATGATTTATTAATTAAAAAAAAAAAAAAATCATAAAGAAGTGCATCTTGCCCAGGGGCACTAAAGTGCCCATGAACAGCCTATAGAGGGTCAACTGTATCATATTCCTGAAGCAATTTTATGAGCTCAAAAACATGTATTTATGACTTTAGGTGATTTTCTGCCACTTGCCTACAGTATGTGCTGGCTTAGTATTGCTAAACACAGGTAGCAAAGATTAAAAAGTCTGAATCCTACAGTATTGCTAAACATGTGAAGAGGTGAGACTGTGCAGATGTGGCACTTTGGGACATGGTTCTAGGGATGGGTTCAGCAGTGCTGGGTTAATGGTTGGACTTGATGGCCTTGAGGGTCTTTTCTAGCCTAAATGATTCTGTGCTTCTGTGTACTCGTCACTGTCATGGTGGACACTAAGTGACAGTATGCACTAAACCGTATCTAATCACTCACCAAACCTAATCACTCAAACAGCTTCACATCCAAAAACTAGCTGGTACTGTATTAAACTTCTGAGTTCAGAAATTGGTATCAGAATGCCTTGTGTTTCAATGCATTTAAGGCATATTTGAGGTTGACTTCACAGGAAATGGGAGAGAGCATGAGAAAAAAAAAAAACAAAAAAGAGTCCAACTGGAATAGAATGGAGAGGGAAAGCTAGAGAATTACAGAAACATACATGAGAGGAAAAGGAATACGTTGGTAAAAAAAATCATATTCACTGACTGTTATTTATCCATCAGAACTTTAACAAAAAAATGACAATTGGATTTTCAGCAATTTAATCTACCTGTACCTGGAAAAATAATTACAGATTTTTATATTCTGCATCTGTAAAAACATAATATAATTATTAAATAATGTGACTTTGGGTCTGTAACAGGCCAACAGAAAAATTAAATTGTCATCTTAAGTCCAGCTTTCTTAGGTTTTTTGTCATTTTATATAGTAAGCTCACAGTTTTGTTCAACTGCAAGCGATAGCATTTTATGATTTATAGCAATATAGACACAAAAAAAAAAAAAAGAAAAGGAATCAAACCAACAGGAATTTGAAGTCTGTGCTGACACATAATAAAACTCTGGCCCATTAGTATCGAGTAATTAACAGATCATTTAACACACACCAGGATCCAGTACTGGTATTTGAAGTGCTTTATGCAGTGACTTTAAGCCCAGACTAACAAACACCAAAGAAGTAGAAGATTTGTACCGAAGCAGTTCCAGCTCCGTTCTTAGCTCGGCTACACAGTTGTGCTGCGTGTCTTCCGCGCTGAGAATGGTGTAACCACAGCCATTGGGGCACTCCCGGCTCCGGTACTCACACACGGCCAGGTGACCATCCAAGTTACGCCGCTCGATCTGCACTGTACAGCCTGAACAGGGATGAGGAAGGTAAACCAGTCAGTTACAACCAACAGAAGCACTTTGATGAATTCCAAACAAAAACACTCAAGAAAGGAAGCTGAAAAGAATTATTTCTTTAGAACATGAAACATGACAGTTATACACACATAGCTCATAATACAACACTGTTAGGAAATCTTAAGATATTTATCCATTAACTGAAAAGAGAGGTTGGAAGAAGGCATTTTATTTTCTGTAAAGCCTTCTACTGCTGTTCTGGCATTAAAGCAACTTCAGTAACGATAATGCCGATGCCAGTCTAAGAACACTGTCAGCTTGCATGTGCTTCCATCACAGATTGCAAAAACTGAAATTGATGAAGAATGCACATGTGTAAAAAAATATTAGGTTCTCAAATTTAGGGAAAAAAGCCCAAAGATATGTGGTAAGAGAGATGTGGGTGAGATGGAGTGTAACTTTGTTTTCCTCGCAGTTTGTTGGACCACACAAATAAGAAAGAACATTTACATATGAACAATCAATACCTCATACAAGAATTGAAACATTTCCACAGAAATTCTAGGATATAAACTTTGTACTTCCAGAGTGAATAAAAGTAAAATGTAAAAAATCAAATATGAACACTATATATAAATTATTGTTACATTTAACACTCTCAGTGTGAAGTATGTAGTCTTAACATTTAAGCTTTGAGGACCTGTGTGCTATAATACACAATTGCATTTAACCTGAAGAGAAAAAACAACATAATGGAACTGAAACAACGGAGTAATGAAACTTTCCAACAAACCTTATCAGAAAATGACAAAAGAGGCCTCTAGAAGAGCTTTACTAATAAATATAATGATTTGTAATTGAGGTACTCAAAATACACTCCAGTGTATTCTTGGGAGAGAGTTCAAGAGACGTAAGAGCTCTCACATTCTGAACAGCAGACATCAGGTGTGGTAACTCCCTAGACACTATTTCTGCAGAAACTAGAACAGGTGAATCTGAAGCATCTGCAGGAGCCACTTACTGCTGAGAGAAATTGTAACTTCCAGTAGAGCAATTCTAGCACCTTAATCATCTCATAATTAATTACAATGGCAGACTCAACTATGCCCTTAGCATTACTAATTAGAAATTAACTTTATCTAGAAACATACAACATTTTGAATGAGATCAATTGGGAAATTTTAGCAATATGTTCCTTTTTAAAGGTGTAAGCTTGTTTTAAATAAACATCTCGGCATGAACGCAATTCTAATCAGAATTTAGCTTAGAACAATTCTGATTTCCAAGACACATTTTTGTTAAAACCACGGGACAGTGCGAGCACCAGGTAACCAGTTGTTATATAAATAAATTGTGACCCATAAGTGTTCTGCAAGTGCTACTGCACTAATTCAAACATCAGAACACATAGTCAGAATTGCAAAACAAATGCATTACTACATTTCATACATCTGAAGTCCATCATACTCATTCATTTTGATTAGTTCTTGGATAAGAAACCCTTTTAATCATCATGGTTGCCATAAATCAGTACCATGTTTTGTTCAAAAACACTGCTGTAAAGAGCAGGTCATGCCAAAGCTTTGAATTTCTGTTTGAAAACAATGGTCGTTACTGCAGTTCTGTCGACCGGAAGATGACAAACACATGTTTTGTAAACATAAAGGATTTAACTTCTCTGAATGTTACTCACCAGCATTGGAGCAAGGAATCTGACTGTACTCACACTCCCTTTCATGCCTGTCTATAGACTCCAGAGAACAAACCATTTCACAGCCGTACTCTCTGTTTCTGCAATGCAGCTGAAGACGGTTTAAATCATTTTTCATGTATCTACATGCAAAGAAAAAGAATTTGTTCTTAAATCTTGGAATGTTACTACAAAACTTTATTTTCAACTTCAGGGAAAAAAAAGTAAGATTCTGATCTCTGTTAGGAAAAACTGTGAGAAACCAGCTTAATTTTTTAAAAAGAATTCAAGTGACCATATCGGAAAAAACCCAGCTTGAAAGAAACAATGTTAATGGAAAATTCAGTCTCCCAAACTAAACGTGCAAAGGAAATCTTTATTTTGAATAATTTTTGAACTGTGACCTTTCACTGACTCAGCAGATATTGCCAATAACAAACACCACGGCTACTAACTCATCATTTAAGTGTTGTATTTCTAAGTGTGCTAAACTAAACAGACTATAGTGAGTATAGACAGAATAATCTAAAAATTAAACTCTAGTGCACTGTCTACACTGCAGTTAACTTCCACACAGTAAAATCTCATTAATAACAAAACTATGTTGTGAGTACCAATGAAGTAAATTTAACACCTGCAGCTGAAGACTTTAAACACAACATAACACTTAATCTGAGCAAGATTAGACAATGCAGGTATCAAACAGCAAGCCACATCTACTGATGAAACTCTGTTGTGCCGGCAATAGCAGGAATTAAGAGTGAAAACAGAATAGTTTGTTTGGAAAGGACCAGCAACAATCATCTAGTCCAACTGCCTGACCAGTTATGGAAGGCACTTGTGAAAACAGCCTGCTTTACATGGCAAGGTGGCTCACAACAGGCATTCTTTTGTCTAAAGATTTTTTTTTTAAAGAATTTGAAGGTCATATGTCCAGGAATTATTCATTACAAACCCCACTACAGTATGTAGATAAGACAAAAAAATATACAGTGTAGTGACTGTTGTCCAGAGTTGCTTTGCTTGCTTTCTCTGAAATAAAGTATGGAATGTTTTGATGCTGTAGGAGGCATTTAGAATAATGTCCAGATAGGTATCTAGAAATGACATTCAAGATATAAAAAGGTGGAGAACAAAAGACATATTCTTTCAATTTTGAAATTTAAACATCCTAAAAGTTAGTTATAATAAACAGGAAAGGCTAATGCTTTCATGTAAGTGATCAGTTTCTGCCACAGGCATACTGGATAAAGACAGCTGGAGTGAGTAAATAAAAAGAGATGAGGTTGTGCAGGCAAAATTGATAAATCCTAAATTCACGTAATTTCAACATACAGCAAGATTGTGGAATACCTGTAGAGAGGCCGTAGCAAAGACACATCAATCACTTGTCTGTCTTCGGGGCAGTTACTGTGATGAACAAGCCAGCCATGGATGCAGGCAGCGCAGAAGGCGTGTTCGCAGGGAGCCTGCAATGGATCCTCCAACACGTCCCGGCAGATGGAGCACAACAGCCCCTCGTTAACATAGCCCACAAAACGCTCAATGTCATAACCCATGCTCTCCACGCACTTTCAACCTATTAAAAAAAAACCTATATAGAATTAAAGCCATCTTTGTGCTCAATCTGTGTGGTTAGATACACAAAAGGGCTGAAAGCAACTCTAGGAACATGGGGACCTTAACGTGAATAAAGAACTTCACAGGTGTGAATGCAAATACATACTTTGGAGACCTTGAGATTTCAGTGAGAATTTGAGGATTGTACTGTTGAATGTCAGGATTCCAATTTTATATCCATATTCTCTGAATTCTGAAAGCAAAAACGTTAGCAGACAGCTGAGCTACACTTGTTCTAAACTCTGTTATTGAACATAACTGTAGCAGCCACTACAAAACATACATTTTCTGTTTACAAGGACTCTACCTGAAGCAGAAACATCACTGAAGTTCAAATGCAAATGTCTGCTTTCCATCGTAATGCCTTTTATGTAATGCCTTACAAGCTTACAAAACTGTGCCCTTACAGACAATAGCTGTGGCACTTTCAACGAGCAGATCATGTATTTATGAACCGCACATCTCTTAAAATGTGAATTTCATACTATCATACTGCCAAAAAAAAAAAAAAAAAAAGACTAAGAGTCTCTGTTCAGACTTCCATTCCAGAGGGAACAGCATGAAATCTCCACATGCCTAAAGAAATACTTAATATTCAGGAAGTAAAAGAAGTCAAAACTGCAGCTAATCCTGAAATCATGAGGAGGTACAGTCTTCTCCTACATGGTCTATTTTATTAAATGGAGTAGCCTTTAAATGGATTTGAAAGCTTTGTAAAGAAGAACTAAGGGGCAATCTGCCTTCATCAAAATCCTATAGTGAAAAGCCTATTGAAACTCAATTAAGACTCTACAGAACTCATTTAAAAGAATATGTTTTAGGTTCCATATTGCTCCTTAACATACAAAATTACTTTTATAACCCCACTGAGACTTGTAGAAGAAGTTTTCATTAGTTATGAGGTTTTCTAAATAAAACAGAAACAGAAGACATCCTACCTTTGTAGATTTTACTACATATATATGTAGTTTGTATATATATTTCTGAAGTAGACTTCAGAAACAGTTTTCTGATCAGTAAGGCATGTAATACCTCCTTCAGTTTCTCTTCACTGCTTTATTATGCCTGTGAGAAAAATTAGAAAGAGTAAGGTTCAGTAGTGTTTCCTAAGTTACTAAGCCCTATGTCTAACCAGCCAGCTACTGGTTAGACATAGATGTTATCCTAACAGCCCATTAAAACCAAGTTTTCCAAAGCAAGCCACTGAAAAACCTACAGCACAAGAGATCTGACTATACTGTGTGGGAAAAAAAAAAGCCATCAGTCTCTCTTTCGATTACTGATGCAGATACTTAGCACATAACTGAACATCCTGCTGCCATTCAATTTTGAAGCCGGTTTTGTTTGTAGGACAACAGAATTCAATATTATTGAAAAGTAGCAACTGAAATCTGGTAAAATTATATTCCTCAAAAAGATGGAAGTTTCTAATCTAATCTGTTTTGAACTGGGCATGACATGCAGTTAATTTTTAAAAGAGAACTATTATAGTCAAGTTCACTGCATTGACAAATATCATTGCTCTGATGTGCAGGATAACTTGCTACATAAGCTTGCTCACTTAAAAAAAGTATAGCAAAACCTAACGGATGCCATTACTTAAATCTACTAAGTTGATAAATAGCAATTGCAAGGATCTCTAAGGACTAATGTCAAATTTTGTTCTGAAGAGAAAAAACAGCTCCACAATTCCTCTTCATGAAAACAACTAGAATTCAGAAGTTTTTATGTATCTGAGTAGCAAAGCGTATCTTCACTGATTACAAAACGTGCTGTGTTACAAGGGCATTTGCTAAGACTAAAGTTAATAAAAGCCATAATAAAAGCACACATAACACAAGCAGGTGTGCACATTACCCGAACACAAAACACATCATCTGCTGCTTGGTTTCCGTATTGTGCTGTGTTTCTACTGGCACATTGATGGCACAGCCAGCACCAAGGCTTGCAGAGATGCTCGAGTCAGTTTTAGATTAGCTGGGACACCTATAAGCCAAGTGACCTACTGAGTGTTGCCACAAAAGCAGGGAGCACAATCCACAGACTCCTGACCATGTCCCTGGCACATTTTACAGCCTGTGTTTAACTCTGTGCTTCTGTGGCTACACTATCACCCACAACACAGGCAAGCTAAATTTGCAGGTATCTAGGCTATGCTGTTTCTTCCTTCACAGCACAGACATTCTACGTCTTAAAAGAGTCTTTTTTAGTTTATCATCTTAGAAGATGATAAACAATTATTTTTACACTGTTGCTCCTTGCATGTTTTACAGGTTTCCCGCAGAAAGAAAATTCAGGATTTTGCCACTTCAGTGCGAACAAAATGTCATCTTTGCACAAAGCTGTGACTGTAAGGAAAGCAAGGACCACAAGGGGAAGTTTAAAAAGCAGAGAACAGTGCTAATTATCGGTAAGGAGAATGTGAAATCAAACATCAGTTTCCAATACTGATGAAAATATTGAAACATATAGTATGTTTATGCTGGAGGACTGTTAAACATACATAGATTCAGTACTTTGAAACATGAGCCTGTATTTTGATTTGGTGAATCCCAGAGGATTCTGCTTTTACAAAACTTTTAAGGATGCATAAAAGAAGCCAACAAAATGGTAAGTATTTTTGCTGTCCTAGAGTCTCTGTTCACTGGAACTGTGGATGCTGTAAGCTACATTTTGCATATACATTGCTGATCCCTAAGGACCAAGTCTTCAAGAGACTCTTTGGCATATTTTAGCAAGTTTAAAGTCTATTAGAACACAGGAAAATATTTTTATCAAAAGGAAAAAAAACTTTATTTGTGCCTGACAGAAAAATGAAGTGCAACAAATACATATATATGAGTATAAATAAATATATGTCTATATATAGCCCCAAACAAAACTGTAGGTCAAATGAAGAGTGGATGGGAACTTTGAGGCAAAAAACACGAGGGGTGCTCTAAAGATAATGTCCCAGCTGTTACTGAAGTGCCAGACCTCTTCCAGTAGAATTTTCCTGACCTCAAGAACCAGAGAAGTCTTATCTTCTTGCAAACTTCAAGATATAAACTTTAGTCAAGAGAAAGGCAGAGAGAACATCAGATGAATGCCACTCTAGCAGTACAGATGACTTAAATCAGTAGTTCCACCACAAAATGAGCTAATTTTCAGCCTCTGCTCATTCACACATACTTCTCCTTCCTCCTTGGCCTCAAAACTTTTCATATTACAATTCACCATTTGTCACTCTCACGCTCCTTTTTTGTTTGCACCTAGAAACTATTTTGTTGACAGTTGTTAGTTGTTTAGCTTAAATAAGTAATTTTTAATAGGATGAGCCACTTAATATAGTTACAACACTGTGTGATTTAGTATGCTGTTTACTTATGTTTACTTGCTCATTATGAGTAAGCTTGAGTTGCTGGAAGCCTGAGGACTCAAAACTGTGGACTTTCACACAGATAAGCTTTTGGCTGGAACACAGTTAATTTTCTTAGGAATTTTCCTAGTAGCCAGTACAGTGCTGTGTTCTATCTTCAGAATGAGAAGAATGTTGCAACACACTGATGTTTTAGTTGTTGCTAAGTAATGTTTATCCTAAGTCTAGGACTTTCCCATGCTCTGCCAGAGAGCAGGTGCACAAGTAACACAAAACAGAAGATAAGGAGCTCACAGCCATCAGCAGAAGCTGCAACTCTACACAATAAGAACAATTAATGGCTTGCCTGCATGGAGATGGAGAGAAAATCCACCAAGGTGTTAGAAGACCCCAGATCACAAAGCACCAAGACTAGCAAGGCACATGAAGAACACATGGGGGAGGATGAATAAATTGTAAAGGGTATAATTGCACAGGGATGTCTTTGTGTGGGAGAAAAAAGATAAACTATTACATGGTGTTTGCTTTCCGTCGTTTCACATATATATTTTATTCCCCCCACACCACTTTTGACAAGCAAAAATCTCCTCTACACTTCATAGGTATTAACTTTTCAGCAACTCTCATCCCATGTTGTTTGGGAATGGACTGGAGCACAAGTCCTGGGAGAAATGGTTGAGGGAGCTGGTCTTGTTTAACTTGGAGAAAAGGACGTTCAAACCTTGTAACTCTACAAGTCACAGAAGGTTATACCCAAGTGGGGGTTGGCCTCTTCTCCAAGTAACAAGCAAGAGGACAAGAGGACATAGGCTTAAGGGGGAGGTTTAGGTTGGACATTAGGAAGAATTTCTTCACAGAAAGGGTGATTAAACATTGGAACAGACTGCCCAGGGAGATGGTGGTGTCACCATTCCCTGAGGTGTTTAAGGAAAGGCTGGATGTGGTACTCAGTGCCATGGTCTAGTTGACAAGGTGGTCTTTGGTCAGAGGTTGGACTAGATCATCCCAGAGATCTTTTCCAACCTGATCGTTTCCATGACTCTTTGAGCACCTCTGAGGCTGTGCAGGACTAGGCTCTGCTACACAGAGGCAAGAGCAGGGTCAGAGGGGCTTCTCTCTCCTGGGGGTCGTGGGAGGGGGAATTTTGCACAGCAAGAAGTGGGAAAGCCTCCGGGTCCGGCCTGGGAAGGCATTTCAGGGCGGGGCAACGAT